AGGCCCAGTGCATGTTGCCACAGTCTCTGTGAATTTGTGTGGGTGTCAGCCCTGTTGTGTTTAGTAGGCATTGTTTTCTTGGTGTCTTCCATATACACTGGCTCTTTCAACTTTTCTTCCTCCTCTTCCTCAAAATTTCCTGATCCCTGAGAGGAAGGCTTTGGTAAAGACATCCCATTCAGTGCTATGAGTTCCAAGATATCTCACTCTTTGCATATTGTCTGGCTGTGGGTCGCTGTATTTTATCCTATCTGCTGCAGGAGGAATCTTCTCTGATGATGGCTGAGCAAGGGACTGATCTATGATTAGAGCAGAAAGCCATTAGGTGTCATTTTATTGCTGTGTCCCTTTGACAGACCAAATACTGCTGTATTGGATTTTCCCGTAGGTCCACAACCAATCTAGTCTCGGGTTCCTGGCCATACAAGCAAGGTTGGGCATAGGTTGATCTCACAGAGTGGGCCTTACACCGAATCACATATGGGTTGGTTGGACCACTGTGGCACCAGTGCGCCATGCAGGCAGGTCACCATTGTTAGATTAAAGGCTTTGTGTTTGGGTTGGGGTTCACCTTCCCCCTGGTAGCATGCAGAGTACTTTCCAGGACCATGAACACTGGTCAGCAGGGCGAAGGTTTTAGGTAGGCACCAGCTTGACTGCTCTGTGTTCAGTGGGACACGTGGGTGTGGTTTTTACCAATCACACCTTATCATTCGTTTGGTGAGAGCAACCAATAGCCTTGGGAAGAGCTTGGGTTGTTTGGGGGTTCCCATGGGATTATTTAAACAGCAACTCAATTGGATTTAACCCATTCCTGGCACTGGAAATTTCATTTGGTGGCAAGAGGTGTCTTTATCTCCATGTTATCTGGTGATTACATTTAGATTTTTATCACTAAAAAAAAGAGAGAGATGAGAGGACAAAAGGGGGTAACCAACATCTGACCCCATCATCTATTGACCTTAAATATCTTCTGACTCTTAAATGTGTTTTGATTTATGTAAATGAGGTGACTGAGAGACTGACAGGATCCACATGAGCTGTGTTTTGAAGTGAGCATTCCGAGAACACACAGAGGAACAGCAAAATGGTCCAGAGTCCCTAGGCTAAGGACGGGCACAGTGAGAAGCTCACTGCAGGAGAGGAGAGTCACAGTGAGAAGACACTGCAGGAGAGGAGGGACACAGTGAGAAGACACTGCAGGAGAGGAGAGTCACAGTGAGAAGACACTGCAGGAGAGGAGAGTCACAGTGAGAAACACACTGCAGTAGAGGACGGGCACAGTGAGAAGCACACTGCAGGAGAGGACAGACACAGTGAGAAGACACTGCAGGAGAGGAGAGTCACAGTGAGAAGCTCACTGCAGGAGAGGACGGACACAGTGAGAATCACACGGCAGGAGAGGGGAGACACAGTGAGAAGACACTGCAGGAGAGGAGAGGAGGGACACAGTGAGAAGCACACTGCAGGAGAGGACGGACACAGTGAGAAGCACACTGCAGGAGAGGACGGACACAGTGAGAAGCACACTGCAGGAGAGGAGAGGACGGACACAGTGAGAAGCTCACTGCAGGAGAGGAGAGGACGGACACAGTGAGAAGCACACTGCAAGAGAGGAGAGACACAGTGAGAAGACACTGCAGGAGAGGACGGACACAGTGAGAAGACACTGCAGGAGAGGGGAGACACAGTGAGAAGACACTGGAGGAGAAGAGGGACACAGTGAGAAGCACACTGCAGGAGAGGAGAGACACAGTGAGAAGCACACTGCAGGAGAGGACAGACACAGTGAGAAGACACTGCAGGAGAGGACAGACACAGTGAGAAGCACACTGCAGGAGAGGAGGGACTCAGTGAGAAGCACACTGCAAGAGAGGACGGACACAGTGAGAAGCACACTGCAGGAGAGGACGGACACAGTGAGAAGACACTGCAGGAGAGGACGGACACAGTGAGAAGCACACTGCAGGAGAGGAGGGGCACAGTGAGAAGACACTGCAGGAGAGGACGGGCACAGTGAGAAGCTCACTGCAGGAGAGGAGAGTCACAGTGAGAAGCACACTGCAGGAGAAGAGAGGACAGACACAGTGAGAAGACACTGCAGGAGAGGACGGACACAGTGAGAAGACACTGGAGGAGAGGAGAGTCACAGTGAGAAGACACTGGAGGAGAGGAGAGACACAGTGAGAAGCTCTCTGCAGGAGAGGACAGTCACAGTGAGAAGGCACTGCAGGGGAGGAGAGTAGTAGTGAGAAGCTCACTGCAGGAGAGGACGGACACAGTGAGAAGCACACTGCAGGAGAGGAGGGACACAGTGAGAAGCTCACTGCAGGAGAGGAGAGTCACAGTGAGAAGACACTGCAGGAGAGGACAGACACAGTGAGAAGCACACTGCAGGAGAGGACAGGTCATGGGATGCACCCTCCCCTCTTCTCAGTGTTTAGAGAATTTTCGCCACTGTTCCATAAATTAACTTTGATGCAGATTCACTCAGAATGTCTATACCTGCATTTCTCTAGATTGCTTGGTAATATCTTCTTCTATGTTTATAAAAGTAGCTTACTTTGCAAAGGAAGTTAGTAAATTAGTGGATGTTTTCGTAAGTCCTTAGACGTTGAGGCCTTTCTGGAGAGTTTAGTAATTCGGTCTTATGAGCAACAAAATGTCGTACACATGCATGAAGAAACAAAGTTCAAATTTTTAGCAAACACAAGTGACAAATTTAATATTAGAACAGCTAGTTATTAAATAATCAAAATGTTCTTTTGGATTAGTCTTTAGATATTACCATTTTTTTAATTTGCAGTTTCTTTACATATAATAAAGAAAAGTGAAAATTCTCCTATTTACCTAAAATTTAGGTACCTTCTCATGAACATGTAGTCTTCCCCAAAGCAGGAACTTTGGTGAACGTTTCAGTCAGGTTACAGTACCTGTAACACAACACACTCAGCTCTTGGTCACCTAGAGCTGCCAGTACAAGACATAACTAAGGATACTTTATCATCTGTTAGACTTAAAACATCTTGGAGAAAGGGCATAAATTGTAGAAGTTGCAGCAGTACCAAGGGGCAGGGGTGTGGGGTGTGGTTTGTGACCTGAAAGTGAGTGTTCCAGGAAGGCCTCACCACAAACCTGACGTCTGAACAGAGACCAAGAGGAAGCAGCCAGACACACTGGCAAAATTATTTAGCTTTCTTCTTCCTGGTATGAAAAATTAAATAAGTGATTTATAAGCACTTGTTTAGGAAGACATTTTAACCCATCAGTCAGTAAATAAAAAATGACATCTATAAATCATCGTAGACCTGTGATCATTTCAAACAATGGCCTTATGAGTTCTAGAAGAGCCCCACAGCCCCAGTTTGGCTCAGAATTTTAAGTTTTATTTTGTTCCATCTCTTTGAGAGTTAGAGATCAGTTCATGCTGTGCATTTGTCTCTAGTCTTAAAAAAATTTTTATTTAAATTTTTTCAAATAATATATTTTGATACTTTTCTTTTCCCTCCTCCAATTCCCCTCAAATGCTGCCCAACTCCCAACCCACCCAACTTCATGTTCTCTCTCTCTCCCAAAAAAAGAAAAACAGCAACAACAACAACAAATCAAAACAAACTAGAAAAAGAAAAATCAAGTCAACACCTGCTCTAGTCCCTTTAATTTACAAACAGGAGCGTCTCACCCTCTGTCCGGGATGATGATGCCCCGAGTACCTGGAGAAGCCCCGAGGGGGCGGGTGAAGCCAGGCTCCAGGTGGGGGCTTGCTAAGTAGCCTTGTGATCTTGGGCAGCTTATTCAGTTCATCTGGGTCTTACTCTTCTCTCCTGTGTGCACTGTCTTTTATGATAAGTTAATGTTGTAAGTATTCATTGTTTTCCAAGCCACAAATTTCTTACTAAACTGGAGGTGAGAGGGTAGAATCTGTTCTGTGTGACAGCCTGTGATGGGTCCATGTCAGCGTTCGTTTACGGCTGTGCCTATGTGGAGCCCTGCCTTGGTTTGCACCTGCAGCCACTGTAGGACCTGTTGGTGTCCTGGCCAGTCCTCTCATCTGTTGCTCAACCCATGGGCCTCCTGCTTCATCTGCCACTGTTGTCTCTGTGGAGTGGGCAGCTGCCCTGCACTGCCCTGCTCTGCCCTGCACTGCCCTATACTGCCCTGCACTGCCCTGCTCTGCCCTTCACTGCTCTGCACTGCCCTGTACTGCTCTGCCCTGCACTGCTCTGCACTGCCCTGTACTGCTCTGCCCTGCACTGCCTTGCGCTGCCCTGCACTGCCCTGTACTGCTCTGCCCTGCACTGCCTTGCGCTGCCCTGCACTGCCCTGCCCTGCTCTGCACTGCCCTGTACTGCTCTGCACTGCTCTGCCCTGCTCTGCACTGCCCTGCGCCGCTCTGCGCTGCTCTGTGCTGCCCTGTGCTGCCCTATGCTGCTCTGCGCTGCCCTGCGCTGCTCTGTGCTGCTCTGCATTGCTCTGCACTGCTCTGCACTGCCCTGCATTGCTCTGCACTCCTCTGCACCACTCTGCATTGCTCTGTACTGCCCTGCACTGCTCTGCACTGCCCTGCACTGCTCTGTGCTGCCCTGCACTGCTCTGCGCTGCTCTGCACTGCCCTGCACTGCTCTGCACTGCTCTGTGCTGCTCTCCATTGCTCTGCACTGCTCTCCACTGCCCTGCGCTGCTCTGCGCTGCTCTCCACTGCTCTGCACTGCTCTCCACTGCCCTGCACTGCTCTGCACTGCCCTGCACTGCTCTGCACTGCTCTCCACTGCTCTCCACTGCTCTGCGCTGCTCTGTGCTGCTCTCCACTGCCCTGCGCTGCTCTGCGCTGCTCTCCACTGCTCTCCATTGCTCTCCACTGCTCTCCATTGCTTTGCACTGCTCTCCACTGCTCTCCACTGCTCTGTGCTGCTCTCCACTGCTCTCCACTGCTCTCCACTGCCCTGCGCTGCTCTGCGCTGCTCTCCACTGCTCTCCACTGCTCTCCATTGCTCTGCACTGCTCTGCACTGCTCTGCACTGCTCTGCACTGCTCTGCGCTGCTCTGCATTGCTGCAAGCAGTGCTTGGAAGTCTTCCCACACTTGGGGTTGTCCTGCTTTTCTCACAGACCCAGATTCTGGGGTCCCATGGTAAACCTTTCCCCTCACAGTACACACCACTCATTGGAAACTTGCTGTGATGTGTATTACTTAAGATGTCACCGAAGGCTGCCTCTGGTTGGACATAGAATTTTTATTTCTTTAATATGATAGGAAAATATATTTATTATTAATTAGAGTTCCAAAACCCCAAGTCTAATTAAATATTCCACTTGCACTTCCTTCTTCTGAAAGGTTTCTGGTGACTCAGCCCACTCCCTCCTCCCCTTCCTCCTTCCTGGGAGGAGGGAGCAGCCCTGCAATGACAGAAAGAGCATGGCTGAAACTGGTGAACTAGTGGACTGGATGTGGACTCCTGCTTCACAGTTTACTTGGATAGATATTTGGAAAGAAATATTGCTGCCACCACAGGATGGTGATGGTGATGGTGGTGATGATGATGGTGGTGGTGGTGGTGATACATATCTCCAATAAGCTTTTTGTAAATTAAAATATGTCCTTTGATGGCTTCAGCATGTCTTTAATGGATTTTGACCTTATTACCACTCATTATCCTCTTTCTTGTCTCTTCTCTTTTTCTTTAAACCCCTTCTTCCCAATGGGTTCCCTCCTAATTTCATGTCTTTGTGTGTATATGTGACCTACTAATTTTAACCAGGGTTGCTCCCATGAGCGTGATGGGAGGTTATTAACTGGAGCATGGACAACATATCAGTGACTACACCACTGAAGAAAGTGATATCCACCCCAAGGAACCATTAATATCACGATGCCCTCCTTTTCAACAATGAAATGTCAGCAGGACCAATCTCGTACCCACCTTATGCAGGTAACCACAGCAGCAGTGAGTTCATGAATGCAATGCCTGCATCATGTCTAGACATTGTCTTTTTGTGGGACACCCTGCCCTCATCCTCAACCTTCTCTTCTGTTCACTGACTCTTAGGGAAGGGGGTGACATAGATGTCCCTTTTAGGGTCAAGCATTCTACTATCATTTATTCTCAGCATTTTGACAAGTTACGAATCTTTATATTAGCTTCTGCCTACAGCAATTAAGAAGCTTCACTGGAGATAAGTCTCAGTGGTTAAGAGTACTTGCTGCTTTTGCAGAGGACCTTTGGTTCCCAGCATCCATATCAGGCAGCTCACAACGACCTGTAATTCCAGTTTCAGGGGACCCAACCATTCTCTTCTGGCATCTGAAGGCACCTGCACACATGTGGCACACATAGGCACATCAATAGAGATATTTAGATATATTTTAAAGTTTCTGTGAAAAAGGCTGAGGCCAACTCTAATCTACTGATATATAAACTTAAGTATTTAGAAGGCAGTTTGATTACAAATCTGTTTAAGAAAATAGTAGTAATAGGTTCCCTGCCAAGGTTCCCTGTTCCTAGGACCTCACTAGCCATAGGCTTTTTACCAGATTTACAGCACCAGACATGAGTTCTCTCCTGAAGAGTGGGCCTCAACCCAGTGAGATTTTATTTATTGATTTGGAAATATAAATGATAAGTCTATCTTGTTTGTTTGTTTATAGTGGTTAGGAGAGAAGGGGTGGGGTTAGGATGAGAGATTGGGTAACAGACAGACATTGGTGTTACTGTGATAGCCGAAGAAGTTGCTGGCTTGGAGAACAGGGTTAGAGGCGTTCCTGCAGCCTGGGATGCATTCCCCCAGAACAATTGATCTGTGCACAGCTATAGCTTTACTTTAACACAACTATCTGTGACTGTGGTCTCTCAACTGTGGACACAGGATGCAATTTTCTCATTTTCACACCCATGTGAAGAACACTGTCAGCTCTAGAATGAATGTGGAAATAATGATTGCCCTTAGCAAAGACCCAACGCTTAGACTGAGTAGTGCTGTCCTTTGTCAAGCTTTAGGCACAGATTTTAAAGAGTTGTAACTAAACATAAAAAGGTTACATTGATTCTATTTGCACATAGAATCACTTTTAAATTTAATGAAGTGTTTTATGCTTTTGTCTTTAGTATCACAGAAAAGAAAAATTGTGCTATGATGTTTCATCGCAAACATTTGTTAAGTTATTTCTTTTTCTTTATTGTATAGAAAAACAGGTCTAAAACCACAAAATGCCTACAACAGATTTTATTCTAATTTCAGATTTACTTATATAAGTTTTAAAGTGGATTCATCCTGTGATTATGATGTAAGTATGTCATTGTCTTCCACTAACTAGTGACACCCCCAGAGAAGTAGAGACTTTCTGCTACAATGTCAGAAACTTTTTCATAAAATTCTGAAATAATTTTATAAATCTTCTCTTGGAATTAGTCTGTTTTGTAAAGGTGCTATGAAATATTCAAATCTCAGTGCAGATTGAACCTGAAGCTGAGTAATGACTTACAAGAGGAAAATTTGATTTTTCTGGATAACATTCCTAGACTGCCTGAAAGAAAGCCAGGTTGGATTTCTGTGGACTAATACAGAGCTCCACTCCTGACCTGCTAACCTCTAACCTCTGTCGATTTTCTCTCCATCACATGCCCAGTCAGCTTTAAATGATGAACCAAACTTAGCTATAAATAATAAGTTTGTGATGGCTCCTTTTAACCAGGAGAAGGTTGTCCAGAAACCCCATTACATTATTTTCATTTAAATTTGGCTGAAGAACTATTTTTACTTTTAACTTTTTAATACACATCTCTCAATAATGTGTCAATAATACTAAAGGCACCAAGTCTATTTATGTAACATCTAAGGTTCTGAAGAAATTCATTAGTGGGTATTGAAAGATTAGCCAAGAGGTCTGAGATGTCCAGCCTGTTTGCTGCCCAAGCATGAGACCCAACTTTACATCTCCAGCACCCATGTAGAAAGCCTGGTGTGCTGGTGTGCAGGTGTGCAGGTGTGCAGGTGTGCCGGTGTGCTGGTGTGCTGGTGCGCTGGTGTGCCGGTGTGCGGGTGTGCTGGTGTGTGGGTATGCCGGTGTGCGGGTGTGCTGGTGTGTGGGTATGCCGGTGTGCGGGTGTGCTGGTGTGGGGGTGTGCCGGTGTGCTGGTGTGCTGGTGTGCTGGTGTGCTGGTGTGGGGGTGTGCTGGTGTGCTGGTGTGCTGGTGTGCAGGTGTGCTGGTGTGCGGGTGTGCTGGTGTGCAGGTGTGCTGGTGTGGGGGTGTGCGGGTGTACTGGTGTGCTGGTGTGCTGGTGTGCTGGTGTGCTGGTGTGGGGGTGTGCGGGTGTGCTGGTGTGGGGGTGTG